TTGAGGATTTGAATGTTCTATGGTTATGAGAATTCACTCGCGTGTTGCTATGGCTCCACGGATGAGATGAGTAAAAGGTTTCTATGTGATGAAGTGTTTACCCTATTAGTGGTTCAGGAGTTATGATGAAATTCGTGTACAATCGCATATTGGCGTGTTAAGTGCAGTGAGTAGTATGAAATTTGAAAGCGAGGATCAAGGTTTCGGTTCGGTATTGACAAAGATGTCATGAGCTCGGATGAGCAGGAATGGGATTTGGATGTTTGGAGTAAGCTGGTATTGTCTTCAGCGTCACCCGAGATCGGTATTTTGTGTTGGAGGCTTTGCATCCTGGTTATGGATTCTTGATTTGCTTTGCAGCTAGTGTGACCGGTGGTATGGATGTACAGACTTGTTACCTAGTGTGGACGATCGTGGGAGCGTACCCCACGGGGAGATTGTATAAGTGTGACATGTAGTCACCTGAAAACCAAGTGTGAAGATGGTGGTAATATCACTAATTTGAGAATTTATGCCAGGAGGGCGCTCGGTTCATTTGGTTGTAGACTGTGGAAGTTTATCCCGGTTATGATGGTTGTTCTTTCGTGTTATGGGAAAGAGGGGTTTATTGTGGACCCTTGGAAGGTTATTAGCCTAGTATGGTGCGATCAGAATCGGCTTGAGGTCTGTAAATGGTTTTAAATATGAATATGGGCTCTATATCAGGCCAGATGTGTTCATTTCAGCATAGCACTCCTTATGGAGGAGTATTTGGACGTTGGATGTCGTTTCGTCGTCGGCTATTTCATGTAATATTATATTTTGCCGTGTGAGTTGTGAAACGGCTTGATAAATTTCATATGTGTTGAGGTTCCGCGTAGGATGGTGTTATGGGAGCAGGATGGCTCTCAAGATTCGGATCAGGTATCGCACCTTAGTTGTGCTTGAGTTTTGTAGCGTATGGTGTTGTCTGTCTTCCCAGGGATGGTATTATGCACTTAGCGTGCTTATGGCCGATATTTGGTGTTTTGTAGTAATGAGCACTGTAGCTCGGTATGTATCTCTTTATATGGATTTTATGTGTAGATCAGGTGGCGCGCCGCCACAGGTATGTTGTATGGATCGGGTTGCACGCCACAACAGTGTGATGTTGAGTACAGTCCCCTATACTCTATTTTTTATGTGTGTTTTGCTTCCCAATTTCTGAGGAAGGTTCATATTAGTTGCGTGAAGTTGAGTAGTCCCTTCCAGAGTTCATTTTCTTATGTATCACGTTCGAGTTTGTAGCTTATTGGCACGTGGTGGCATCATATGAGACTTTTGGACATGTATAGGGTGGCTTATTGCTTGAGCAGTTCGTACTGGGTGAGAAGAGATCAATGGATCTAGGATCAGTGAAATTCGATTATATGAAGTATATGAAAGAGCAAACACCATTATTTGGTTCAGAATGAGGTGATGGTTCTCGTTAGGAGTATAGACTTAATGATTTGTTGACTCGGCAGTTGGTTATGGATTTCTACACGTCTCCTCCGTCGTGGAGGTATTGCAAAGGGTTAAGACAGGATTTATATATGTCATGAGGTTCATTGGGAGCACCAAATTCGTGGAATTTTGGATATTGTTATCAGAGGATGTTGTTATGGTCATGTGGGTTATGCAGTGCATAGAGTGAATTCAGCAAAGGTATGCAACCATGTAACGGTGCATTGTTTAGTGATTGATATGGTATTCATATGTTGGAAGCAGGCCTGACAGAGAGTTTCGGATGTTGGAAATGGGGCTCTAAGCTTATTTGTTTGAATAAAAGAGAATATCTTCATATTTGATTGAGTTAATGTGCTCAACTGAGTCGTGGTAGCGCGGATAGGCGTGCGAGGTGTTAAACAGTAACTTTATACTGCTCCAGCGCAGTTCTCAGCACGTTCGAGGACGAACGTATGTTTAAGTGGGAGAGAATGTAACGACCCGACCGGTCGTTCTGAGCTCTAGCGCGTCGTTCAGCCGTTTGAGGCCATGAGCAGCTTCACTTCAGGTATTATGACTTGTACGTGTAGTCGGAATTGAAATTCGAGGAGTTCGGAGTTGTTTGAGGAAATGAAGAAAAGACGAAAAAAATTTCTTTCAAAACCTCTATTGAAAGATCTGACGATGAAAATGAAAAGGAAGCTAAGGCTCTAGGAGAAGAGATAGCTATGCTTTCCAAAACGATGAATGGGCTAATGAACCTAGAAAATTTGTATTCATGGATTTTGACCATGATTTTGGACATGAAATTGAGAATAAATTATATATTTGAGTTCGTGAGGTTATGGATAAACTTTATCTTCAAAAATTTTTGGAATCCGGGCACGTGGGCCCGAGGGCGATTTTTATCGACTTTTCGATCAGGGTTAGAAATTGTTATAAATTGGATTATAATGAGAAATTAATTATATATTAATGGGTTTGCATAATTATTGCTAGTTTTGGAGCGTTGTGCATCAATTCGAGTTGTTTGAAGGGCTAAGGAGCAGGTTATGGAACTTCGGAGCGAGGTGAGTCTTCTTTCTAACCCTGTAAGAGGGAATTAACCCCATAGGTGAAATAATTAAATATGTGCTCCTATTTTTGGGGGCTACGTATGCACGAGGTGACGAGAGTTTGTACGCAGCTACTAAAAATGCCTATGTCTGAGTAGTTTTAGGCTTACATCATGCCTTGTTGATATTGTTAGTGATTCATGTTATTGCTTGCCTTGTGACAGAGCAAGATTGAGTTTGCTTATTAAATGTTTGAAGGAGTGAAATTGAAAAATATAAGGTTTCATTTGAACTTCGTAATTTCGAAAGGGATTAAGGAATATTTTAATAACTTAAGAAATCTATGTGTAACCGCGTCGTACGTATGATATATGAGCGGGGGAAAATCACCTTAAAGGCTTCACGTTGAATTTTCTTTATTTTCAAAAGAATCGAGAAAACGATTGTGGTTTATTAGTGAATTTATATTTGACCGCGTCGCATGTATGATTCACGAGCGGGGAAATTCTTAAATCTATATTTGACCGCGTCGCATGTATGATTCACAAGCGGGGTATTTTCTTCTACTACTGTCATGGGAGCGGGCCGATCGCCTCGGCAGGTTAATAGATGCATCTAAGGTTTGCGCCATTCGACCCTCTGGCAGTGCACAATTTACTTTTATGTTGGATCGGGTCGTACGCCTCAGAGTTTCCTATGTATATATATTATTCTCATGGAAATCGTGTTTGACATTTGGCTAGAAGCCAATGAACCTAAGGGATTTTCCCTAACTTGAATTATGACAACTTCTTTAATTAAATCCACCATATCTATATATATGCTCCAGTTACGGAGGGAACTTACTAGTTGAGAGCTTGAGTAAAATTATAAAGAGGGGAATTGTATCGCGTGTTTATACTTATTTATTTCATATATTTACTCTGTATCATATTTATTCACCCCTTTACTGTACCCAATATTATTGGACCACTAGTAAGTGTCGGAGTCGACCCCTCGTCACTACTTCTTCGAGGTTAGACTGGATACTTACTGGGTACGCGTTGTTTTCGTACTCATACTACACTTGCTGTGCATTTTTGTAGCACATGCACATGTATCTCTAGTGGCCTAGTGGGCGTAGTAGCATGGTTGATACGGAGACTTAGGTGAGCTGCATCTCTCGAGACGACCCGCAGCCAGCAGAGTCTCTTTTAGAGTACTGTATTTACTGTCTGTCCAAATTTGTGTTCCGAACAGTTATTGTATTTTATTTATTTCTCCTAGTGATTGCTCATGTACTTGTGACACCGGGTTCTGGGTGATTATGGGATATTTAGTATTAAAAGTTGTAAACACTTTTATTTATTCAGTGAAGATTTCTTTTTTACTAGTTAAATTAAAGGAAACTTATGGTTCCTAAAATATCAAAATGAGAGTTTAATTAATTATTAAATATCGGCTTCCCTGACCGAGGTGTCCGGTGCTGTCACGGGCTTTAATGGATTTTGGGTCGTGACATTTAGTTTTGGAAAACGTACATTCATGCATTCAATTTGTGCAATAGTAACAGGGGCGGCTCAAGCACATGCGCGGCCTAAGGCCAAAATTTAATACTAGGTCTAAATTTTTAAAAGTAAGCTATAAGATATATTTTTATTTGAAATCTAATCTTCTAGCTTTTTGAGATATAAAGTTGTTAATGATCTTTTTTATAACTAATGCTTTCTAATAATTCTTTTTCAATTGATATGATAGACAACTCATTTGGTCTTTCTTGAGATATTGTTGATTTTCGATAAGATATTATAGAGCAATAGCAGTATATAACTATTGGAACCTTAAAAGTATTGTTGAACACTTAAACTAATAAAATCTTGGAGAAAGAATGCGAGTAAGAATAATAAAGAGAAAGACCTCAAAAAGAAATAAAAGGGATTCTTGGCTTTTAAGGGTAATTTGAAGAAGATATTGGTTTTCATTTCTGGGTATTTTCTCCCTATTTTCTTGGTCCCATGGGTGTTTGCGTGTTTTGCAGGTATCACTTTTGGGAGGTGCACGCGCACAAACAGTAGAGTAGCAGCTATACACCGGGTTCCGAAACATCGGGAGTATACCAAGTCAAGAGTTCCAGGTTCTATTCGGGGGAATTGGTACCTCCCGCCTCCTATTTCTCTGTCACTTGTGTTAATTACTTTGTTGCTGTAGCATTTCGTGCTAGTCTAGTCAGTCTAGTTGGCTTGTAGTTACTATTTGCTCCCTTTGTTGTTCTGTGTGGTGTTTTTTCTCCTTTTCATTTTTTAGACCTTTGTAGGTATAGAGACTGTGATTTGTAATGGCAGAGTGAGTTCATGTCCTCGGGGAGTTCAGGGAGCTCGGGGAGGTTGGGTGGTGGGGAGGGGGGTAGGGCAAGGGTTAGGGGGTGGGACGGGGCCCAATGGGGGTAAAGGGAACAAGGTAGCCTGTAGGTTGTGAATTGGATCGTGGAATTTTTGGATGTTGACGGGTAATTCTATAGAGATGGCAAAGATTCTCCAGAATAGGAGGGTCAATATAGCGTGTGTGCAGGAGACTAGGTGGGTAGGATCGAAGGATGTAGACGGGTATAAATTGTGGCTCTCCGGAGTCGTGAAGGGCAAGAACGGAGTGGGCATTTTGGCAGATAGAGAGCTTAGAGAGTCGGTGGTAGAGGTCAGATGGGTGAATGACATATTGATGGCGATTAAGGTAGTAGTTGGAGGGAGCACTCTGAATGTCATTAGCGCTTACGCGCCGCAAAAAGGCTTGGACGAGGAGGTTAAGAGGAGCTTCTAGGAAGCGCTGGATGAGGTGGTTCAGGGTATTCCGCCTACGGAGAAGCTATTCATAGGAGGGGATTTCAATGGTCATATTGGGTCGTCTGCTGGTGGCTATGGTGAGGTGCACGGTGGCTTCGGCTTTGGTGATAGGAACGGGGGTGGTACCTCACTGTTGGATTTCGCTACAGCTTTTGAGTTGGTGATCGGGATTTCTATGTTTCCGAAGAGGGAGGAACATTTGGTTACTTTCCCGAGTATGGTGGCTAAGACCCAGATTGACATGTCCTCCTCATGAGGTGTGATAGGGGGTTGTCCGAGGATTGCAAGGTGATCTCGAGTGAGAACCTCGCAACTCAACATAGGATCCTGGTGATGGACGTTGGTATCTTGATGAAGAGGAAGAAGAGGTTTGTACGGGGTCAGTCGAGGATCAAGTGGGTAGCTTTGTCTAAGGATAATGCGCAGGAGTTGGAGGGGCGACTGGCGAAATTGGGTTCCTGGAAGAGTGGTGGGGACGCTAGCACTATGTGGATGGCAACGACGAACTGTATAAGGGAGGTAGCAAGAGAGGTGTTGGGAGTTTCGTAAGGTTACTCTGGCGGGCACCGAGGCGATTGGTGGTGGAATGAAGTGGTCCAAGGTAAAGTGGAAGCCAAGAAAGCAGCTTACATTAAGTTAGTAGAGAGAACCGACGAGGATCAGAGGAGAGCGAACAGAGAAAGATATAAGGAGGCTAGGAAGGAGGCGAAATTAGCGGTCACAGAGGCTAAGACTGCTGCTTTTTGTCGGTTATATGAGGAACTTGGGGGCAAAGGTGGGGACAAGAAGTTATTTCGGTTGGCCAAAGCGAGAGAGAAGAAGGCTCGCGACCTGGATCAAGTGAGGTGCATCAAAGACGAGGACGATCGAGTATTGATGGAAGAAAGCCAGATTAGGCAAAGATGGCAGTCGTACTTTCATAAACTTCTGAATAAAGAGGGGGATGGAAACATCGTGTTGGGGCAATTGGGGCACTCCGAGAGTCACCGAGACTTTAGGTATTGTAGGCGCATTAAGGTTGAGGAGTTCGTGGGTGCGATGGGTAAGATGAGTTGGGGCAAAGCAACCAGACCAGACGAGATTCCAGTAGAGTTTTGGAGATATGCGGGTAGAGCAGGCTTGGAGTGGCTGACTGGGTTGTTTAGTGTTATCTTCAGGACAAAGAGGATGCCTGATGAGTGGCAGTGGAGTACAATGGTTCCGGTGTACAAGAACAAAGGGGATATCCAGAATTGTAACAACTATAGGGGTATCAAGTTACAAAGTCATACCATGAAAGTGTGGGAGAGGGTGGTGGAAGGGAGGATAATGAGGGCGATGTCTATATCAGAAAACCAGTTCGGGTTCATGCCGGGTCGTTCTACTACGGAAGCTATCCAACTTATTAGGGGGTTGGTGGAACTATACAGGGATAGGAAGAGGGATTTACATATGGTATTTATTGACCTAGAGAAGGCATATGACAAGGTTCCTAGGGACGTCCTTTGGAGGTGTCTGGAGGTGAAAGGTGAGCCGGTGGCTTACATTAGGGCAATAAAGGATATGTATGATGGAGCTATGACTCGGGTTAGGACTGTGGGAGGTGACTCAAAGCCTTTTTCGGTTATTATGGGGTTACACCAAGGATCTGCGCTCAGCCCGTTCTTATTTGCTTTGGCGATGGACACACTGACACACCATATCCAAGGACAGGTGCCATGATGTCACAACCCAAAATCCAATAAGGGTCGTGACGGCGCCGGACACCACCGTCAGGCAAGCCAACCCAAAATACTTAGTTAAATCCTCATTTTAATACTTTTGAAAACTATGACTTTTCTTCAAATTTACCAATTTAAAAGATAATCGTCTCAAATCAAATTAAATAATAAGCAGTTGATATAAAAAAAAACTTTACAACCATCCCATAACCCGGTGTCACAAGTGCATGAGCAATTTCTAAGAGAAATCGAATAAAGTACAACAGCTGTCCGTAATACAATTGGACAGAAAATGAATAGAATCCTGAGAGAGACTATACTAGTCTGCGGGTCGCCTCGAGGAAATACAGCTCACCTAGTCTTCGTGTCAACCATGCTGCTACGCTTGCTAAGCCATTAGTGGCGCATGTGCCTGTGCAACAAAAATGCACAGAAGTGTAGTATGAGTATAAAAAACAACGTGTACTCAGTAAGTATCACGCCTAATCTCGAAGAAGTAGTGACGAGATGGCAACTTCGACACTTACTAAAGGTCCAGTAATATTATTAGTAATGCGATGACCCACGGATTTATTAAGAACAACAGTAGATTCAAGTAAATTACTAAACAGGTAAAAGTTCCTCTTTATCTAAAGTCTCCGGATTCATAATCCATTAATTAACAATGGTCTCAAGTCGGGGAAAGCAGATATTAGTATCAACAAATATCAAGGCAAGCAATACAAACATGCGCAACTCATGCCGAGGTCGTACGGCTCGATCCAACAATATTTAAATTGTGCACTGCCAGAGGGTCGAATGGCCCGAACCATAGATGCATCTATTATCCCGCTCGTGAATCATACATGCGACCCGGTCAAATTTAAATAAACAGAACAATCAGTCAATCCTGAATTTATTAGGGAACAATTATCCAAGGAAAAGCCAAATTCTCTTTTAACAATTCAAGAAAATGAATTTTTAATCTTCCTAGAAATTCACTTACCAATTCGATAGGATTTAAGAAATTCAATTGTCAATAATATCACAGATATTCCAAGTATAGCATGCTTTTTGGGTCCTAGACTACCCGGACTTACGCATATTAGTAGCTACGCACGGAGTCTCGTCACCTCGTGCGTACGTAGCTCCCACAAATAGGAGCACATAACCAATTATTTCACCTATGGGGACAATTCCCTCTTACACGGTTAGAAAGGAGACTCACCTCGCTCCGAAGATCCGTAACCGACCTTCCACGCCCTTTCAAAAACTCAAATTGATGCACAACTCTCCAAAACTAGCCAATAGTTATGCAAATCCATTAATATATACTCAATTACTCATTACAATCCAATTTATAACAATTCCTAACCCTGATCGGAAAGTTGACAAAAATGCCCTCAGGCCCACGTGCCCGGATTTCCAAAATTTTGGAAGAATAAGTTTACCCATAGCCTCACGAACTCAAATATATAATTTTTTCCTAATTCCATACCCAAAATCGTGGTCAAATTCCAAGAATATAAATTTCTAGGTCTTTCTACCAAAACCCCAAATTTCTACCAATTTGCATGCCAAAATCTATACATAATCGATGTATTTAACTCAACATGGACGGAATTAGCTTACTTTATCGTTGATGATGAAAAATCCCACTTGAAGCTCTCCCAAAAATCGCCCAAGCCAAGAAAATATTAGAGAAATGGCCAAAACCCGATTTTTAAAACACCTCTCTGCCTCCAGCACTTCCCGCACCTGCGGTCTCTTGACCGCTTCTGCGGTTCCGCAGGTGCGAGCCAATCCACCGCTTCTGCAGTTTCCTCCAGGCCTCTTACTTCCGCATCTGCACTTCTCCTAGCACATGTGCGGTGCCGCATCTGCGGCGAAATTACCACATCTGCGGTCCCAGCTGGCCTGCCCCTTTCCGTTTCTGCGACTCTTCCGCCGCAGGTGCGGTCCCGCTTCTCCGGCTGCTTGACCGCATCTGCAGTTCCTTCCCTCCTGATCCAAACTGTATCTGCGGCTCCTCTGGCCTCTTCTGCGGCTCCGCACCTGCGGCCCAAGTCTCGCAGGTGCGGTTATATCAGCAACCAGCAGCTTCAGCCGTTTCCAAAAGTCCATTTTCGATCCGTTAACCACCCGAAATCCACCCGAGGTCCCCGGGACCTCAACCAATCATACCAACCAGTCACAAAACATATTACCGACTTGCTCGAGGCCTCAAATCATATCACACAACGCTAAAACCACGAATCGACCTCCACTCCAAGCTTTATGAACTTTAGAATTTCAAACTTCTACTTCTGGTGTTTAAACCTATCAAATCAAGTCCGATTGACTTCAAATTTTGCGCACAAGTCATACTCGACATTACGGACCTACTCCAACTTCCGGAATCAGATTCCGACCCCGATATCAAAAAGTCCACTTTCGATCAAACTTCTCAAAAACCTTCTAATTTCTATTTTTATCCAAATGACTCCAAAATGACCCACGGATCTCCGAATTCACTTCCGATCGCGCTCCCAACTCCAGAATCACCATACGGAGCTACTCCCTGACTCGGAAGCCCAAACGGACATCGATAGCACTGAAATGCACTTCAACCCAAACTTATAAAATTTCTTCCAAAATGCTAACTTCCACAATAGGCGCCAAAACGCTCCCGTGTCATCCAAAACCCGACCCGGACATACGCCCAAGTCCAAAATCATCATACGAACCTACTGGAACCTTCGAATCCTGATTCCGAGGTCGTTTACTCAAAAATCCGATCTTAGCTAATTCTTTCAACTTAAGGCTTTTGAAATGAGAATTTCCTCTCCGAGTCAACTCCGAACTTCCCGAAATTTAATTCCGACCACGCGTACAAGTCAAAATGCCTGAATTGAAGCTGCTCATGGCCTCGAATTGCTGAACGGCGCGCTAGGGCTCAAAAACGACCGGTCGGGTCGTTACATCCTCTCCCACTTAAACATACGTTTGTCCTCGAACGTGCTAAGAACTGTGCTGGGGTTGTCTGGAATCGCTGCTTAATACCTCGTGCACCTACCCGTGCTACCACAACTCAGTTGGGCACATCAGCTCGATCAAATTTAAAGATAACCTCTTTCATTTAGGCAAATAAGACTTGGAGCCTAGTTTGAACATCCGAAATTCTCTGCCAGGCCTGCTTTCAACATATGAACACCGTATCAATAACCACACGCTGCACCAAAACATGACTGTGCACCCTTGTTGAGTTCACACCATGCACCCCATCGTTCACCAGACCATAATAACACTCTCTGATCATAATAGTAAACATTTCCCGAATCTGATGCTTACAATGCACCTCATGACATATATAAGTCCTCTTCCAACTCTCGCAATGCCTCCACGATGGAAGGGACGTGTAGATATTCATAACCAACTGCCGAATCAACGATTCATAGGTTCTATATTCCTGTCAAGAACCTTCACCCCTTTTTGAACCAAATAATGGTCTTTGCTCCTTAATATACTTCATATAATCCGATCGCACTGATCCTAGATCCAGTAACCTTATCTTAACCTGTATGAACTTCTCAGGAAA